GCGTGCCTGTAATCTCAGCTACTTAGGAAGCCAAGGCAGGAGAATCACTTGAACCCGGGAGGTGGAGGTTCAGTGAGCTGAGATCACACCATTGTACTCCAGCCTGGGCAACAGAGTGAGACTCCATTTCAAAAAAAAAAAAAAAAAAAAGTGAGTGAGGGACAGCTTCCTCAACAATATGGAGAAAGTAGAATCTATGTGAGCTGAGTGAAAATAGAGTGTCATTGATAGGAAGCCGAGTTGTGGTTTTTAATCCAGAATATAGATAAATCAACTCAGCTAAAATTCAGGCCTTAAATTCAACTTGGTTTGTGAATCTAGACAACTTTTGAAGTTATCAACATGAGTTTTGAGAGCTGCACAATGTAATGGCGTAGACCTTTGTATCTTCCTCTTCTCTTTGAACTCCAATTTAGAAGAATCAAGTTACCCTGAATTGCTTAATGAGATAAAAATAGAAAATAGAGATTACCTAGTCACCTAGTTTTTATAGTGTTTTCTTCTTTCAATCCCATTTAGAATCAAAGGATTACATGATCAGGTGCAGTGGCTCACGCCTGTAATCCCAACACTTTGGGAGGCCGAGGTGGGCAGATCACCCGAGGTCAGGAGTTTGAGACCAACTTGGCCATCATGGTGAAACCCCGTCTCTACTAAAACTACAAAAATTAGCCAGGCATGGTAGCACCTGCCTGCAATCCCAGCTACTCGGCAGGCTGAGGCAGGAGAATCCCTTGAACCCAAGAGGCGGAGGTTGCAGTGAGCTGAGATCATGTCATTGCATTCCAGCCTGGGCAATGGAGTGAGACTCTGTCTCACACACACACAAAAAATACCAACAATCAAAGGATTACAAAACTATTGTGATGCTCTTTATGATTTGAAACAAAAAAATGTATGCAGTGTCTAGAGTGGGAATTTAAATTAGAACAACTTCTTTGGATAGCAAAATATCGAAGTGTATCAGATGACAAAGATATTTCTGCTTAGCCATCCAGTATTTTACTTTTTTTTTTTTTTTTTTTTTGAGACAGAGTCTCAATCTGTCGCCCAGGCCAGAGTGCAATGGTGCAGCCTTGGCTCACTGCAACCTCTGCCTCCTAAATTCAAATGATTCTCCTGCCTCAGCCTCCCAAATAGCTGGGATTATAGGCACCTGCCACCATGCCCAGCTAATTTTTGTATTTTTAGTAGAGACGGGGTTTCATCATGTTGGCCAGGCTTGTCTCAAACACCTGACCTCATGATCCACCTCCTTCAGCCTCCCAAAGTGCTGGGATTGCAAGCATGAGCCACCATGCCTAGCTGTATTTTACTTCTTATTATCTTATGGAAGTAAATCAAAATGTGGGGAAACTATGCAAGATTACATTTATAGAGAAAAATTGTTAGAATCACAGATGTTTAAAATGAAGAGAAGGGTTGAATTAGCACTGACAATCAATGGAATGTTGATCAGTCATTAAAAATAACATTGTAATACCAAACAGCTAATGTGAAATAACTGTAAGTGATAAAATACAAAATTTTTTAAAAATGTGTGATCAGCCATATTAAAGAAACATAACCTGTTCATAGGGGAAAAAAAGTCCAAAAGGAAAATTTTAAAAGTAGTTTTTGTTGAGTGACAGGAACTTGCCTGATGTCTTGTCTGCATCTACATTTTGCAGTCTCCAAATTTGTACTAGTAAAGAAAGTTATTATAACAGTGGCTCGCATTTGATGACCAGTAGTTCTGTGCCAGGCACTGTACACCCTTATGTTATTTATTCCCTTGTGGCATTTGGAAATATGAGCTGTCACAAGCCCATTTTACTGGCAGTGCAATTGAGGATCAAGAGCTCATAGAATTTGTCCCAGGTCGGAAAGCTAGTCAGTGGCAAATTCCGATTAGCAGTTCAATTCCAGACCTACATCTTAACTATTATACATGCAAAACATGTAATGAGCATTAAAGAGATATATAGCATGCATAGAAAATAGAGGTTATCTAGTCACCTAGTTTTTATAGTGTTTTTTTCTTCTTCTTCTTCTTTTTTTTTTTTTTTTGAGACGGAGTCTCTCTCTTGTTGCCCAGCCTGGAGTGCAATGGCATGATCTCGGCTCACTACAAACTCCAGCTCTTGGGTTCAAGAGATTCTCTTGCCTTAACCTCCCAAATGGCTGGGACTACAGGCGCCCACCACCACACCCCACCAATTTTTGTATTTTTAGTAGAGACTGGATTTCTCTATGTTGGCCAGGCTGGTCTCGAACTCCTGACTTCAGGTATCCACCCACCTCAGCCTCCCAAAGTGCTGGGATTACAGGCATGAGCCATTGCTCCTGATTGTGTTTTCTTCTTTGGATGCAAAACATGTAATGAGCATTAAAGAGATATGCAGCATGTATTCAGGTATTCAGGGTTCAGTTAGTGGAATATTGAATTAGTAGCTTGGGGACATTATTTTTGGATCTGTTCCTGGCTCACTCTGTGATTAAAATCAGGTCAGTTTGCTTTTGGTGTCAGTTTTTCCATCTTTGTAGAAAGGAAAACAGAACCTCCCACTTGCCTGCTCCTTTATGCTTATGACCTGTTTATGCACCTGTAATAAGTTACTCTACATGTTATTACCATTAGCTGGAGGATAGTGTGACTTTGTGAAAAAGTGCGTAGGTTTAAGGATTAGGCAGATCCAGCTGCAAATCATTTGGACACTCGAATTCCCTGAGCCTCAGTTTCTTTCTTTCTTTCTTTCTTTTTGTTTTTTTTGAGACAGAGTCTCGCTTTGTTGCCCAGGCTGGAGTACAGTGGCACCATCTCGGCTCACTGCAAGCTCTGCCTCCTCCCGGGTTCACGTCATTCTCCTGCCTCAGCCTTCCGAGTAACTGGGATTACAGGTGCCCGCTACCATGCCCAGCTAATTTTTGTATTTTTAGTAGAGATGGGGTTTCATCATGTTGTCCTGAGCCTCAGTTTCTACAAATGTAAAATGGGGTAGTAACGTGTACTTTGGGGGTTGCAAGGAGGAATAAATGAGATGCTCCATATGCAGGGAAGGAGAATGGCTCTCCACTCAGTAACTGCTCTTTCCCTGCCCTGTTTCACTGTCGCTTACCTGATCAAACTTTGAGTACAAAAAAACGAGGCCCACGTAAGTTTCCTGTCATTTTTTTGCACATCTTACCAAAATAAACAGATAACTAACCAATAGTGGCAAATCATCAGTACTCAGATCTGGATAGAAGAAAGCAAAGGAAGCAAACTAGAATGATCCTGGTAGGAACGAGGGCAGAGGGCACTCTTTACAGTGTGCTTTGGACGCATGGAAACTTTTCTGGCGGGTCCAGAAGGAAACAGGTACCCCACAGAGGTGTGGAGGACACATGCTCCCTTAACCTTTCCTCCAGTCTTTCAACCTTTAACCAACTCTGGAGAGAGCAGCAAGTCCATTTCCTGACTGGGTTCAGTGATATATCTGAGAAATGTATTGATTTATATGTATCAAGAAATATAAATAGGCTAGGCGCGGTGGCTCACGCCTGTAATCCCAACACTTTGGGAGGCTGAGGTGGGTGGATCACTTGAAGTCGGGAGTTTGAGACCAGACTAGCCAACATGGTGATGGTGAAACCCTGTCTCTACTAAAAAATACAAAAATTAGCTGGACGTGGTGGTGTGCGCCTGTAATCCCAGCTACCTGGAAGGCTGAGGCAGGAGAATCGCTTGAACCCAGGAGGTGGAGGCTGCAGTGAGCTGAGATTGCACCCATGCACTCTAGTGTGGGCAACAGAGCGAGACTCCGGCTCAAAAAAAAAAAAGAAAAAATATAAATAAATGTTCTGTTTTTGGTAAAACATATATGTCAGTAGATATGTGTATATTCCAATAATAGAATAAGGCATTATTTATCTACTATCCACTTTGGTGGATAACTTGGGGACAGGGTTGTCTTTAACAAAGTTGATTGGCAGTAGATAAGAGTTTGGGAGTGGAAACGAACCCCAGATTGGAGACTGCGGTGTGTTATAGAAGAGAAAGCAGCAACAGCACTCCTTAAAGTCATAGTAGCTGGCATTTAGTGAAGATTTACTATGTGCCAGGCTTTATGTCTTCATGTACATCCTCTTTCTCTTGTTAGCATGTTTCTCTTTTCATAATTTTTAAATTGTAGTATATAACATAGACATTTAAAAAACATATAGCTGAGCTTCATGTGTTACTTGAAGGTAACCATTCTTGTCAATACCACCCAAGTCAAGTTTTGACAGTTTTTGCCCCGTGTATTTTGAAGCTATGTTATTAGGCACATAAATAATTAGGATTGCTCTCTCATTATCAAATGTTGCAAGAAGTGATGCATGCTAAGATCTGAAGAGTCCCACCTTTGCTATTTCAGTCTCTGATAGTAGAGTTCCTGAAAATGAAGTTTGTTGCTAGAATAGGCCCTTTTTGTGGACACATGAATAATGGTTGCTCGGTCAAGATAGGAAGATAGGATTTCCTGTAGTAGGAAATTCTCCACATCCCTCCTGTCAGTGATGATCCTTCCATATATTCACAGAGGGGAGGTGATGTAAAGCTATGACTAAGTAGTTAGACTTTAAATTCAGACAGATCAACCACTTATATGCTGTGTGGCTTGGGCAACTCAACCCCTCTATAAGCTTCCATTTTCTCTTCTTTAGAAAGAACATTATGGCTCAGTGTTTCCTCTACCCATTCCTTCCACCTCGCCCTTCAATAATAAAAAGAGTACTATGGCTACTTTATTGGTATGTGGCTATATGAGGATTAAATAAAAATACCTTGGCAGGGTCCATAACACAATGCTTGGCATATAGTAAGCATCTAATAAGTGTTAAATAATACTATGTCATCACTGTCTTGTTGTATTACCTTACCTGAACTGAGGCTGGGTTTAACATATCTTGTATGTATTAATCCCCCTGCCGTGGACCACTGCAGCGAGCAGATACTAACGGACTCTGATTCCATGAGACTTTTTCTTTTCTTACAGGGCAGATGTCCATTGCAATCACTGTGATGCTGATCATACACAACTATTGGTTCCTTTACATCCCTTATTTGACGTGGCTTTACTTTGACTGGCATACCCCAGAGCAAGGCGGCAGGAGATGCAGCTGGATCAAAAATTGGACTCTTTGGAAACACTTTAAGGACTATTTTCCAATTCATGTGAGTACAACTGTTTTAAAAAGTATTATGTTGAGTTAGGAGAAGAGTGGAAATTTGTTTTCATCACATACATCTCAAGCTTCTTCTTCGGGGGGGTGTCTTAGTCTGTTTTGTGCTGCTAAAACAGAATACCAAAGACTAGGTAATTTATAAAGAAAACAAATTTATTTCTCACAGTTGTGGAGGCTGGGAAGGCCAATACCAAAGATGCTGGCATCTGGCAAGAGTCTTCCTGCTGCAACAGCCCACAGCGCAAGGTGGAAGGGCAGGAGAGGCCAAGAAAGAGCAAGAGGGGGTTGAATTCATTCTTTTATAAGGAACTTACTCCCAAGATAGCAAACCCCCTTCTATGATAATGGCATTAATCCATTAACTGTGCTTTCATTCCTAATCACCTCTCATTAGGCCCCACCTCCAACACTGTTGCATTGGGGATTAAGTTTTTAAACACTTACTTTTGAGGGACACATTCAAATCATAGCAGGGAGAAAGGCTGCAATTTGGCTCCAATTACTAAATGAACTGTAAGCTGAGTTGACAAAATCTAGAAGGCTGTATATAAAGGAATCTGGGCTCAGAAGATGGTTTAGAAATTTGGACACAGCTCCAACCCAGGGAACAAAAATGAGTCATGTTCTCCATTGTCTCTTGACACAAAAACTAGTCCTTTTGTTTCTCATTGGAAAATAATAAGGGAATTTTCTTTTTTTTAAAATCTCAATATGAATGTGCCGTAGCTCATCAAAACTCAAGATTTGGATCCAAGTCACAACTATATATTTGGGTTTCACCCCCATGGAATATTGGCGGCTGGAGCCTTTGGGAATTTTTCTACAAATTATTCCGACTTCAAGGAGCTGTTTCCTGGCTTTACTTCATATCTTCACGTGCTGCCACTTTGGTTCTGGTGTCCTGTCTTCCGAGAATATATGATGAGCATTGGTAAGTGATGGCGGATCACTGCTTCCACAGTGCTTTGGGGTAGCAGGAGCACATACAACATTTCTTCTCAGGCCCATATGTGTTTCTGGTCTCTTAGAGTAAAACCTGTTCTATCCTCATCTGGCACTTCCTATGTGGTCTGGGTGTTTCCTGCCCTCCCCCACTGGACTGTAAGTGTCAGAAAGACACAAACTGCGTCTTCTTTTCTATTCCATCCTAAGTATCCAGCATGGTGCCTGGAACATAGAAATGTTCAATGAATATTAACACAATGATCAAATAAAGTAATGAATGCATTTTGTGTATTCAGATGTAGAAGAAGAAATCATGGATCAAGTAAGTGACAAATCACACCCTTGGAGAGGCACCGTGCATGCTGTTACAAATACTAGAAATGGAAAATGTCTTTCGTTGTGTCTTGAAGTACCAGCAGTGATGAAACTAAACATATTCAACTTGCTGTCTTCCTAGATTAAAAATAACTTGGCTCAGAAATAAGAGTCCAGGCCAGGCGCGGTGGCTCACGCCTGTAATCCCAGCACTTTAGGAGGCTGAGGTGGGCAGATCTCTTGAGCCCAGGAGGTTGAGACCAGCCTGGGCCACATGGCAAAACCCTGTCTCTACAAAAAATGCAAAAATTAGCTGGGCATGGTGGCACACATCTGTAGTCCCAGCTACTCAGGAGGCTGAGGTGGAAGGATCACCTGAGCCTGGGAGGTCAAGGCTGCAGTTACTGGAGATGGTGCCCCTGCACTCCAGCCTGGGTGACAGAGTGAGACCCATCACAATTAAAAAAATAAATACAAAGAGACAAGAGCAGTGGCTCATGCCTGTAATCCCAGCACTTTGGGACGCAGAGGTGGGCTGGAACACTTGAGGTCAGGAGTTCGAGACCAGCCTTGCCAACATAGTGAAACCCGTCTCTACTAAAGTAAAGTACAAAAATTAGGGCATGGTAGTAAGTGCCTGTAATCCCAGCTACTCAGGAGGCTGAGGTGGGGGAACTGCTTGAACCCAGTAGGTGGAGGTTGCAGTGAGCCAACGTCGTGCCACTGCACTCCAGCCTGGGTGACAGAGCGAGACTACGTCTCAAAAAAGAAAGAAAAAAAAGAATTGTTCATGGTTTTCTAGATTTTTATTACATCCTATTAATTTCTCAAGTGATTATTGTCATTATATACCTGGTAGGATATCACTAAGCACCCAAGGACCAGGATTCACGGCTGGATTTTCAGGTTCTGTTTCTGTTTTCAAAGTCCAGCCTGGTCCACAGGGCACACTAGAGGGCGCACTAAACCCTCCAAGCTATCCCGCATCTGGCCTGCAGAGGGTGCACTATCCCCCTCTTAACCACCAAAGGTTTGCGGGGGGGGAATCCCTTCTCTTCCTTGTTTTGTATACATTGTTTTAGAGTTTTATAAAACGAAGAACATTACAGGGAAAAATGTTTAAGTTTCACAAAAGCACAGAAACATATTTAAAGTGTTTGCTTATTCAAAGCATTGCCGCAGGTGAGTTTGAGTCGTATAGCTAAGAGCAGGTTGGGCAAACTCATGGCCCAAGAGATGTGGGTATCCTCTCTCTATGGCCATATCAGACGCATATACTCCATCTTAGAGTCTTTCTCCTTATAGTGCCCTTACAGCCACTGCAGTTTACTAGAGCTGGCTTTGGAGAGGAAACTTGTTTGCAATCACTGGTTTCTTTGTTTTTTGTTTGTTTGTTTGTTTTGTTTTTGTTTTTGAGACAGAGTTTCGCTCTTGTTGCCCAGGCTGGAGAACAATGGCGTGATCTTGGCTCACAGCAACCTCCACCTCCCAGGTTAGAGTGATTCTCCTGCCTCAGCCTCCCGAGCAGCTGGGATTACAGGCATGCTCCCCCACCCCCGGCTGATTTTGTATTTTTAGCGGAGACGGGGTTTCTCCGTGTTGGTCAGGCTGGTCTGGAACTTCCAACCTCAGTTGATCCTCCCGCCTTGGCCTCCCAAAATGCTGGGATTACAGGCGTGAGCCACTGCGCCCAGCAATCACTGGTTTCTGACATCATGAATTATTTTCTGTGGTACAACCTTCATTTCCCTAAAAGGTAATAGAAATATTCAAACTTTCAGCCAGTGGAGGTTTGGACTATCCTTGTCTCTAAGTTTAGAGAGTTATCTGTACTTCCCAGAACCAGATTCCTAGGACAGCCCTTGGTCCAAGGCTGCCCCTCTTGACTGTTCCTGCCCAGATGGCTGCCTCTCTGGGAGTGAAAGACTGACAGACATAGGCACCAGACCTCATGTAGTAAGGAACCGTAGGGCTTCAGAGGGCCTTTGCTGACAGCACTCTGTTTTGCTCTTACACAAGAGGATTCTGCATCTGTGAGTCCTTTTAAATCCCACCTCCAACCCATTCTTCTTGTCCCATTTTGTATGTATCTATACCTAGCAGGTGTCAGCCAGAGCCAACTGTGTTTCAGGTTCATGCTCCTTTCTGTTTACCCCTTAAGCCTGGACAGGTAACAGGATCAGATCACAACAGCCATATATACCATACAGAGAACTTTAGGTTTTATCTTGTAGATAAGCCATGGGGAACTTGGAGGGATTCTGAGCAAAGGAGGGATCTGATGGATTTGGTGTAATAGAAAGATAATTCAGGTAGCAGCTTGGAAAGTGGTTACAGGCAGGTAGACCTGGAGACTGATGATGGAAGGGGCCTGTTGGGTGATGAAGGGAGAGGTGATAAGGGCTAAGCTAACAGTGGCAATGGCACTGGAGATACGGAAGAGAAGATTAATATCAAAAATATCTGATAGAGTCACTAAGACTTAGTGATTGATTCATCCTCATGAAGGCAGCAACTGTATTTTGTCATTATTATGAACATCTAGCCCTGTACCTGGCCTGTAGCAAATGCTCAATAAATGCTTTCAAATGAATGTGGTGGCTAAGAAAGGAGAAGATGGCTACATATGGAAGAAGCTGTGTTTTGACCAGGTAGATGATGGTCCCATTCACCTTGATAAGTAATGTTGGAAGAGGGACCACTTTGAGGGAGAATTTAATGCATTTGGTTTGGAGACGTGTAGTTCGAGGTGTCTTAGAGCTGTCAATGTAGATATGTCAATTGGGCAATTGGAGATATGAGCCTGGAACCTCAGGAGGAAGATCTCCTGACAGATGGGTTTGGGAGAACTCAGCACACATAAATGGTATTTGAATCCATGGGTGTAGATGAGGTTAGAGGACAAGAGAGATAAGGAAGGACCCCTAAGAAATAACAGCATTGAAGGATGGCCTGAAGACAAGGAACCTGAGGGAAAACTGAGAAGTGGCCAGAGGCAAGCTAGGAGAGCCAGAGGTGTGGAAACCCAAGAGGCCCTTTTCCTGGTGGAAGAGATGCACCCAACTCTCACTCAGGTTCACACAGAGCAGAACGGCATGCCTTGACCTCAGTGAAGGTTCAAACCCATCTAGGCAGGCTCAGGCTCTCTACCTCTAACCCAGCATCCTCTGCCTCTTAAGAGGGCAGTGGGTCATTCAGAATCCTGTCATAATTCCTCCTATAATAGAAACCCAGAGTAAAATTAGCATACCATTTTCTTCAAGAGATGAGATATGCTATGTCTTTATAAAGCCTGTCTAACACATTCTGTTATGACTAAATAAAAATGGATAAAACCCAGAATGGAAAGACACATAAGACATTAAAAAGTGATTATTTCTGAAATGTAGTTCAAGAATGGTTTGTATTTTTGTCTTTATTCTTTCCTATATTTTTCTCAGTATGCAGAACATGTGAAATCTGAAAAGGAATCTTTTAAGTTATTTTTACATGGGAAAGCCTGAAATACAGACTGAACAACTATCGAACTGTTTTAAATGAACAATTTACCAAAGGCAGACTATCCATATTGGAAACATGTAGAGATCTGGCAAGTGATCTAGGTTGTCAAATGTCTTGATTTTTTTTTTTTTTTAACCACTTTGTATTAGTTCATTTTCACACTGCTGATAAAGACATACCAAGACTGGGAAGAAAAAGAGGTTTGAAAGACTTATAGTTCTACATGGCTGGGGAGGCCTCATAATCATGGTGGAAGGCAAGGAGGAGCAAGTCACATCTTACATGGATGGCGGCAGACAGAGAGCTTGTGCAGGGAAACTCCTCTTTATAAAACAATCAGATCTCATGGGACTTATTCACTATCATGAGAATAGCATGAGAAAGACCTGCCCCCACGAGTCAGTTACCTCCAACTTGGTCCCTTCCACGACATGAAGGAATTGTGGGGGTTACAATTCAAGATGAGATTTAGGTGGAGACGCAGCCAAATGCTATCACATTTATATTATAAATCCAGGTTTGGAAAATAATGATCCATATAGAATATCTGAAAACAGGCCATTGTATATTCAGAAAATCCACTGCAGCCTCTTGGAGAATATACTTTTTGGTTCTGTGTAAAACTTCGCCAGGATAAATATCAAGGCCACCACATACAGCTGTGCAGGTTGTGCACTGAACAACTCCAGGGGCAGGGGATCCTTTTACTTAGAATGCAATATAAATGGTGTCCTGTAGAGTTCGGCAGTGCACAACCTACCTAAACAAACAAGTGGTAAACCTACTAATGACTGAATGGCATTTTAAAGACCTAGCCCACTACCTGCCAAAAGGTTAACTTATTAATAGAATACATTACTAAAGATTTGACTCTGAAAAATTACAAACTTACAAAGTGCTCCAAAGGTAAGCAGTGTAGGAAATTTTGTTAAATGTTTACTATTGTCATGGAATATTATGATAAAACATTGTAATTTTTTAAAAAAGGATAACTAGTTACACTGTTTGTTTTATTCACTAAGGGCTAGTTTCAGTTTCCAAGAAAAGTGTGTCCTATGTGGTAAGCAAGGAAGGAGGTGGAAACATCTCTGTCATTGTCCTTGGGGGTGCAAAAGAATCACTGGATGCCCATCCTGGAAAGTTCACTCTGTTCATCCGCCAGCGGAAAGGATTTGTTAAAATTGCTTTGACCCATGGGTAAGTGGCTTTTTTTCCTTTTATAAAGTAGTGGGTCAGCAAAGTAAAGACATTATTAAACAAATCACGAAGAAGTAAGGTGATTTTCTAGCCCTTAAAGACCTCCTCCAAATCCATCTGACAGTAAAAGCAGGTGTGGATGTTCTTGGGGAATGGAATATGACCTTTTTACGATAGTAGCTCAATGCCATGACATTCAGCAATTTAACTTAACTCTAAAAGCAAAACAACGAGAACAACGATAAACACCAACATTCTATACACACAGTGTAATTTTCCAGCCAAATCAACAGTGGCCAAAGCTATAGATAAAAGAGAAGCTTCCTGGAACCCTAATGTTCTATAGAATAAAATCCCATTAAGGCTAGCCTGCTGAAATTCCTCCCTAAAGAATGTTAAGTTTAAGACAGTTTCAATGAACGTGAAGTTAGCAATACAGGAAGGCTTGGGCACGTTTAAAAATTTTTTCAGAATTTGTCGCAAGAGTCAGCTAAACAAAATAAATTATTTGAATCCTTTTCATGGAATATTCTCACCCGTCCCCTTTGTTGTTGCAGTGCCTCTCTGGTCCCAGTGTTTTCTTTTGGTGAAAATGAACTGTTTAAACAAGTTGACAACCCCGAAGGCTCATGGATTAGAACTGTTCAAGAGAAACTACAGAAGATCATGGGGTTTGCTTTGCCCCTGTTTCATGCCAGGGGAGTTTTTCAGTACAATTTTGGCCTAATGCCCTATAGGAAAGCCATCCACACTGTTGGTATGTACATAAAACGACTACAATTATTAGCTTACTTTAAGCAATGTTTCTTGTTATTGATTGAGATGCTAATGCAAGGGAAGTGGCTTTGAGTAAGAACTTCCTGAAATAATAATCCTGTAGATGTCATCTGAGTTTTGTTTCTGGTATTCCTTTGATTTATGAAATGACTACATTTTCCACTAGAATAGGAATTGATTACTTTCAAGAATACTGCTATTGAATTACAAGTAAAATCCAATTTTCAAAATAAAGTTTCTAATACTCTATAATGAATCTGTTTCTCTGTGCCAGCTGATTATAATATATCAATTCTTTGATGACAAGTTATACCAGAGTTTATGGAGAGATGAAAATTTCTGTGTGATAAGTATCCTCATTATGTTCAGTTCACATAGGCATCAGTTTCTATAGCAAAAGCTTTTTTTTTTTGCAGCTAGCTATTTTATATATATTCTGCTATTCTGCTGTAGACTCATTTTATTTTTTTTATTTCCAGAGGTTTTTGGGAAACAGGTGGTATTTGGTTACATGAATAAGTTCTTTAGTGGTGATTTCTGAGATTTTGGTGCACCCATCACCGCAGCAGTGTGTACTCTACCCAATATGTAGTCTTTTATTCCTCACCCCTCTCCTGCTCTTTCCCCCGAGTCTCTTTTTTTTTTTTTTTTTTGAGACGGAGTCTCGCTCTGTTGCCCAGGCTGGAGTGCAGTGGCCGGATCTCAGCTCACTGCAAGCTCCGCCTCCCGGGTTCACGCCATTCTCCTGCCTCAGCCTCCCGAGTAGCTGGGACTACAGGCGCCCGCCACCGCGCCCGGCTAGTTTTTTGTATTTTTTAGTAGAGACGGGGTTTCACCGTGTTAGCCAGGGTGGTCTCGATCTCCTGACCTCGTGATCCGCCCGTCTCGGCCTCCCAAAGTGCTGGGATTACAGGCTTGAGCCACCGCGCCCGGCCCATTGTATCATTCTTAATGCCTTTGGGTCCTCATAACTTAGCTCCCACTTATGAGTGAGAACATATGATGTTTGGTTTTCCATTCCTGAATTACTTCACTTAGAATAGTGGTTTCCAATTCCATCCAGGTTGCTGCAAATGCCATTATTTCATTACTTCTTATGGCTAAGTAGTAGTCCATGGTGTTTATATATATATATATAACAATTTTCTTATCCACTCAATGACTGATGGGCATTTGGGCTGGTTCCATATTTTTGCAATTGCAAATTGTGCTGCTATAAACATGTGTGTGCAAGTATATTTTTCGTATAATGACTTCTTTCCCTCTGGGTAGATACCCAGTAGTGGGATTGCTAGATCAAATGGTAGCTCTACTTTTAATTCTTTAAGGAATCTCTACAGTTTTCCCTAGTGGTTGTATTAGTTTACATTTCTACCAGCAGTGTGAAAGTGTTCCCTTTTCACCACATCCACACCGACATCTATGATTTTTTGATTGTGGCCATTCTTGCAGGAGTAAGGTGGTATTGCATTATGATTTTGATTTGCATTTCCCTGATCATTAGTGATGTTGAGCATTTTTTCATATGTTTGTTGGGCATTTGTATCTCTTCTTTTCAGAATTATCTATTCATTTCCTTAGCCCACTTTTTGATGGGATTGTTTGTTTTATTCTTGCTGATTTGTTTGCATTCCTTGTCAATTCTGCTGTTAGTTAGACTCATTTTAGTTTAAAAAGCTGCATGTTTGGGAGAATCCAGTTGAGGGAGGAGGGTGAAGACCATGTTGATAAAAATACTGAGGAGTTGGCCAAGTGTGGTGGCACACACCTGTAATCCCAGCATTTTGGGAGGCTGAGACAGGAGGGATGCCTGAGCCCAGAAGTTCGAGACCAGACTGGCAACAAAGCTGGACCTCATCTCTACTAAAAACTTTAAAAATTAGCAGGGCACCATGACATGTGCTTGTAATCCCAGTGCTTTGGGAGGCTGTGGCAGGAGGAGCACTTGAGCCCAGGAGTTGGAGGTTGGAGTGAGCTATGATTGCACCACGACACCATAGCCTGGGTGACAAAGCAAGACCCTATCTCGAAAAACAAAAACAAAAACCCAGGAGCAAAGTATTTAGTTCCTCAGATGGGAAGAGGATTGGAGAGCTAAAATGAGATAGTGCTGAGCCAGGCACTAATGGCGGAATTACTAAAACTATAAACTTATTTTGAAACTGGAAGTAATATGTTCACCATGGATAGCTCATTAAGTAAAATTCAAATATAGTCAAATACTGTTTTAGATCTGTTTCGCTAGGCTAGGATTTTACTACCGTCAGTTTATAAGTGCTTTCCATTTAATGTGCAATCACATGACTTTTTTTTTCACAGTATTTACACTTATTATTATTAAATCTTAAGTATCTGAAAGGTATAAATATGGGTCAAATGGAGGAAAATAGGAACTGAAATCAAACTATTACAGATGCATGTGAAGAGTGACTGTTTTTCTGTTTTCCAATTTCTCTGAAGGGAATATGGAGGAGAGTAATTTTGATATGGAACTGAATTGGGGATATATTTCTTTCCTGGGAGAAATTCCTATGGAAGGGAGACAATTATCAGAATTTTTTTTTTTTTAAGATGGAGTTTCGCTCTTTTCGCCCAGACTAGAGTGCACTGGCATGATCTGCAACCACTGCCTCCTGGGTTCTAGCGATTCTCCTGCCTCAGCCTCCCTAGTAACTGGGATTACAGACACCTGCCACTACACTCAGCTAATGTTTTGTATTTTTAGTAGAGACGGAATTTCACTATGTTGGCCAGGCTAGTCTTGAACTCCTGACCTCACGCGATCCACCCACCTCAGCCTCCCGAAATGCTGGGATTACAGGCGTGAGCCACTGCGCCCGGCTTCAGAATCTTTTTTTTGTCCTTGAGGTCAGGTGGGTAAAGTGCTGATGTTGTAACAAGGTTCAGAGAGTGGCACATCTCACAAGTGTGCGTGAGCACCCAGTCGTCATGCTCATGAATTATAGAAGGACCAAATTATCAGACTTTTTTTTTTTTTTTTTTGAGATGGAGTCTCACTGTGTTGCCCAGGCTAGAGTGCAGTGGTGTGATCTCAGTTCACCACAAGCTCTGCCTCCCGGGTTCATGCCATTCTCCTGCCTCAGCCTCCCGAGTGGCTGGGACTACAGGCACCCGCCACCACGCCCAGCTATTTTTTTTGTAAGACCTCAGTCTTAAAAAAAAAAAGACAGCAAAGTTTGGCAAAATGTAAATATATCTGCATTGCTAAGAACTCTACCATCCAAAGATAAACACACAAGAAATGCTGGAGTTTTGCCGTGCCTCAAAGCTACTCTGAGTTTTTCTGCTCTTATCGACAGGGCTCTTCCACTTGGGCAATTGGCAAGGCCTGACTCTGGAAGGATGGAACTCCTTACTCTTTTGAATCTTTGAATATTTTAATCAGGATTGCACCACCCTACACAAGCAGAGGCTGTGGACCATCTCATGAACAAGGCTTTCTCAAAGAACTGCTTAGAGCTGATGGTGGTAAATGCTGTTGAGGAGGAGGGTGGCAAATGGAAGCAGGAGCCCTCCAATTAACCTCTCCTGAATCATTAGGTGAAGGCGATTGGATCTCAGCCTGCAACTCAAACACAGAGTAGGTAATGAGGTCAGCAAGGGCCTACCTTGGGAGACATTGGGAAAGTGAGACAATCATCAATCGAAAGAACCCATTCTCCTGACTAGTACAAGATGCGTTCATCATGTTTCCTGTTCAGAGATCATAGCCATTTCCGAAGATAGGTCCATACACATATTTACATCACAAGAAGTCCTATTCATATCACCAACCAGTCAGAAAATCTCATAATTGTCATTCTACCTTCTTGGCTTAGAGATAACATTTTAGCTTTCTTTCTTCTCAACATCTAGTGTCACCTCCCTGTTTCCATGTCATCCTTAACACTGGGGGATTGAGAAACTTTTTGAAGTAGAGGAAATACATGGAAGTAACATCTTTTGTCCTGACAGTCAAGTAGTTCAATGAGAAGTTAGCAATCACTCCCCCAGATTGTGCCACCAAATGCACAAGGAATCTTATTTTGTTTCAGGTCATACTATTCATTTTCCAATCTCCACTAAAGACCTCATCTGCTATGTCTACGGCCCTGCTTCCCTACAGGGATGTCTCTTGTTATAAGAAGCCTCAGTGTCTTATAAACATAAGTTCCTGTGTCCATTAAGAGTCTGATAATTCGAGCCGGGACCGTGGCTCAGGCCTATAATCCAGCACTTGGGAGGCCAAGGCAGCGGATCACGAGGTCAGGGGATTGAGATCATCCTGGCTAACATAGTGAAACCCCATCTCTACTAAA